CTCCAAACATACACCTTTAACAACCTTTTTCGAATTTCTAAATTAACCGTTCGCGAGCATAGAAGTGACTTCTTTTTATTAAAGGCGACACGACCCTGCGCTATCCTCTGCTTTATATCCCTACTACTCCTTCCATCCTGACTTATCTGACTTCCTAGGTATCTAAAATCAGCCACTTCTTCTAATTTTTCGTCTCCTATCTTTATATTCCCTCTTTCCCTACTTTTCCTTCCCTTGCATACCAGTATTTTAGTTTTACTTTTATTTATTTAAAACTTAAATACTGGTACGCAAGGGAAGGAAAAGTAGTACATGTATAAAGTCCGTAATTAGGCCAACGGTCAAAATTTTATGGAATGAGAACTATTTATAATGAAGTGGCTCGATTTTCACAAATACGTTCTTAGTACGCCCTTCGAATAACATCATGTACGAACAATAAATAATCTTATTTATTGAACACTTTTGCATTTGAACATAAGGTTATAATGATAATAAGTAATAACACCGTGGGTAGGTGAATAATTAGAAATGTTTTGATAAAAATGCGTACACAAATGACACTATATGTACGTATGTATGTATGTGTGTATGTAAATATGTACCTGTACAGAATTAAGTTTGCAAAAAAAAACTAAGCGGCATTTTCGTTAAAAGATAAAACATACACACCTAGACAAGCAGATTGTTGATTTTTTATTTAATCTAAAAGATAACGGTAAAGTATTCGACAGATAGGTAACGATAGTGAGCCAATTGTTGGGTTTCATACTAACCACAAAAATTTACGACAGTAAGCTTTAAAAATGACAATTAATTTAAACAGCTATCGTTCAAGTTCAAGTTGCAATGGAAAGGCCTTAGCATTTACAATTGCGGGCACCATATTATTCACGATTGTTTTGTTTTACAACATCCAAAGCACCCCGTGCACTGAAAGAGCTGACAGACCCAGAATAATCAAAACTGAGGAGGAACGAGCGACCGTAAACGAAACCTATACAGAATCGGTCGAGTGCAGTGATTACGCGGTTCCCCAAAACGTGACGCAGAAAGGTACTTTTTGGGTATTAAACAATTACGTGCGGGCAACCGAAAGGCCAAAATGTTTGGAAAGCATCACGTATACGGTACCGGCGACTTTTCCGTTTTTGGAAAATATTCCCGCACTTGTCGACCGTTGGCAAGGACCTATAAGTGTTGCTGTGTTCGCTCCAGGCGAAGACTTTTTCAGGACGATTGATTCGATAGCTTATTTGAGAAATTGCGAAATGGATTTAATCGAAAAATATGTGACATTTCATTTATTTTTCCCGGAAGACCATTTACCACAGGTAAATACATACAAATTAACCATACCTGATATTTGAAATATTAATTACGTTTGATCAGATTATAAAACCTTATGAATTGTTTAATTAATCGGACGATAAAACACTTGTAATTTACTATTTAATAGGTACGATAAAATCATAAAGATCCCACGTAAAATATATAAGCACACAAGGCGTATTTTTCACAATAACTTTTGATCTAATCTTTGAAAAAGAGAATTTTATAACACCACGAAATAACATTTTGTTGCACTTAGTCCTCAACACCCCTGTCGTCCCTTTACAAAGACGAATACGATTGTTCTGAAGAGGCTCCTTCCGTACTAGAAGAAAACAGTTATAGAAAGAAAAACGAACTATCGTTTCCGATAAACGTGGCCAGAAATATTGCAAAAGATAACGCTCAAACTTACATAGTATTCCCTTCTGATATCGAACTATATCCGTCACCCGGACTAATCCCGAAATTCCTCAAAATGTTCTCTACAAAGGGCCTAACTTCGGGACGTACAGTGTACGTAACACCAGTATTCGAAGTAGAAGAACGGGAGTCAATTCCGGAGACAAAATCGGAATTAAAGAAACTTGTTGCATCTAAAAGAGCACGATTTTTTCACATCAACATGTGCCCAAGCTGTCACGCGTTCCCTCGTCAAAGCGAATGGCTTTCTAAGGATGACGATGTTGATAAATTGGGCATTTTTGCAAAGACGAAACGAAGTGGAAAGTTTAACGTCTGGGAACCGTTTTATATTGCTGTGAAATCGGACGTTGCCCTTTTTGCCGAAGAAATTACCTGGGAAGGCCTGTCAGACAAAATGGTCCAGGTTTGTTGACTAATAATAAATAAGTTCTGATATAAAATGAGTTAGGCTTTCATGAGCGGCGATAATTTTTGATAGGATTATTTCTCCTTCGATTGAGACCCTTATCAAAGGTTTTATGATGGTTGACATCCTCAGGAAACATAGCGAAGATTGTCCTAAAACTAAGTACAGGTACTTTTCCTGAGAATTTCAACCAGAGATAATTACCAAAATTTCGGTATTAGAGGAAATGTAACATTGAAAATCTTTTAGAAAATCCTGGAAAATTCTAAGCTTCTAGAAAGTTTCACAACTTTTTAGAACATTCTGTCATTCAATTGGTTATTCATTGTCATCATAAGAAATCAATATTACGAAGAAATTCCTAATCAATATTAAATTCAATACTTCACTCTTCTACCAAAAACTTTTCACCTTGTAATCTAAAAGCTATATTGGTTTTAGGCTTACATTATGTGCCTGTTGGATTACGACTTTGCGGTTTTAAACAATGTCTACCTAATACATAAGCCAGGATATAAAAATCATAGAAGTATCCAGTCTAAGTATGTCAATAAAAACGGTAGTTATAAGAAAAAGACACTGCAACCTGTGCTGGAGACAATTTTTGGTCGAAGAAACGGATGTGCTTTATAAAACCGCGTCCTTAATATCAAAGAACAAAGTGTACAGTAATTAAAAAAAAAAATATTAACCGAATCTCTTAGTTTTAACATCATTTTTATGGTAGATCATACATTTGCTTATTCCGTATTTTCAATCGATGATGTTGTTTGTAAAAGAAATATCCTTGTAATCACCTAGGAGAAGTTGCACACAAACAAATGAAATTTTAAATTATCAAAACCAAACCAAAAAACAATTTTATCTTATTTTCGATATTTCAAAACAAAAACTGTGTTACATTTATTCTGTTATTATGATATGATTCGTTTCGCCTGTAACAAAAATGTTGATTACTTTAAAAATCAAAATGAAACATGTGACTAACGGATGCAGCACTTAAAAATAACAAAATAAACAAAGAACAACACAACTCATCAAATGTTCCTTATTTTATTGGAAGAATCGTAGTAGGTAGCGCGTTTAGAAATCTATTATGTATTTTACGTATGCATCAGAGTTCGTAAGTTATGTCGATAAAGATTGTGTTCGGTTCAAATATAATCCACTTTGCAACATACATACGCTGTTGGGGAAGTATTTAATCGAATTGGAATACTTTTTCATAATAACTACACATTTACCACGATAGCTGTCAACAACGAAGAGAAAAAAAAATGTCAACTTCTTGCTGCGAATCCAATTTGAGATCTTTGCCGATACACCGAGTGTTTTTTAAGTGCCCCAAGTTACCGTCAAGCAAAAAGGATTTCGGAAATTGTTCAGGAATCGGTAAGTTATTAATTAGTTATATCTCATTTTAAGTAGGGTAATTGTTTCACAGAAACTTCTGATCAAAAAGTTTAAAAACTTTTTCGCTCGCGTTGATGTTCTAAATACGTAACAAAAATCATCGAGGACTACATAAAATCAATTTTTCAGTATTTTTTTCTGGATAAAAGTTACTCTATATCCTTTTTTGTATCCCTGACAATATGTGTACAAAATTTGATGATGGTGTAAGTAGTTAAGACGTGAAATCTTACAAAGAAACGAGTTTCATACTATTCTTATAAGGATTCTGTTTTGATTCATACTTTTTTGAAAGAATTAAAAATACCTACCTACTTTTCCTAAAATCAAATCAATATGTTGAATAGTTGGTGGCACGCAATATTTGGGTAATATCCCCCAATCTATACAACAGAAAATCACGCAAGTTAAGTAAAATACAGGAACTAATGGATAAAATACTTTTCCGTAAAAACCTGTAATGTTTGACCATAAAATTAAACAAACTATTTTCAGAATTACAACAATTTAAGTATTATTTTATCGATAGATTTAAATAAATTAAGAAAAACATAATGCCAAAATACTTTGGTTACGTAATTTCATGATTATACAAAGTAGAACAAAATCAAGGAAAATTTTCTTAATCAAAGTTAGATTAGTTATTTGACAAGGAAAAAGAAGATGAAAATCAATCTCGGATGTCCTAAAAATAGCCATAATGCTCCAGGTTCAGATTACAATATTCAAGACTAAATCGATAAAATATAACAATAACGAAAATAAAATATACTATTTCATAATTCGATCGAATGGCATGGCACTGGACCAAGTTGTTTCGTAAAAAAGTGTTACTTGATGCCGCATCTTGTGATGCCGTGTGACCATGGCAACGAGAAAGCTCGAAAAGCTCTAAAAATCGGTAATCTCTAAGTAAAGATGGGTCGGCGTTAGAAAGAAGTGAGACGTATCTTTTTAACGTATCAAACCAAGGTACACATATAATACAATCATATTATTAACGTGGTAGAAGGGGCACTGCAAGTTGTAGTAGCAGTCGTTATTTAAATGAAAAATAAAACTAGCTATCAACATTACTAACGTGTGTTAGACTGGCTGAAGGAATAACGGTTTAACTTGTCCACAGTTGTTAAGTAATGCGATTCTAGTGTTGGAAATATTAATTATTAGTACCACGTACCACCACCACCGGTGTATGTTGGCGGACTTTGATTAAAAAAAAAAAGAATAGTTACTGAAAAGGACTATACAAAAATCGTGTCGAACCGAGTGAAAGGTAACGGGGTCTCGTAAAGAATGGTGAGTTTCACGAAGAACCAAGAGCATGATCGGCGCCAACTGTTGGCCAGCATGAATGAGATGACCTGTTATAACAACTACCATCAGATAGAAAACGGTGAGACTTGAAATTTAAAACGATCGTTGGCAACAATGTCAGATTTTCAAACTTCAAAAATTTTGAATACTTTTACTTGAGAAAAACAGAGTAACAATACGTTTGTACAAAATAATTAGTAGGTACAATCAGTATTATCTAATCATAAAAATGTAAACCGCCGAGTAACCGGATTATCACTATAATAAACTAAAACGGATAATCCAATGATACTACCTATATTTAAGAGGGATTTAAACTTGTAAACAAATAGTAGATAATGAGCACAAACTGTTTTGAATGTGACTGTTGACTTTTCCAGTTAGCAGTTGATTCCTAGCCATTTTTAACAAAGGCTAAAAGTTTTTAAACTTCTTTCTCGACTTTTTAACAAATGGAAAGCGTGAGAATTTTATTATTAAGTAAACTAGCAACCTATTTGTCAAATTATTTTACTTAATATTAACTTAAGTGTTTGGAAGACTGTAACAGTTACCAATAACAAAAATATCTCTTTTATAAGCCGATGTATATTGTAAGAGAATTCTCATTAAAGTTTTGTAAAACTTTTCAACTTCGATTTTTATTATTTTACTAACTTGGCGAAGAATAACTTTAAGAAATTAAGTAAAAAAAAACTGTTCGAAGAAATTTCGTTTATATTCACAATATGACACCACTGCAGAAATTATACGTGAGTGGAATTAATAAATAAAATTTAACTTATCATAAGCCGAATAGCATCAGTACTGTTGATAGTGCATGCCTTAACAAACTTAATGGATTTTAAAATATTTTTTGTGTTGAAAGAGAACATTAAAATTATCCACGAAGCAGTGAAATGTTTCTTTTTTCAACAACAGTTATATTTATGGAATGATATTACATCAACAAAAAGAAAGTCGAACGCTCTTGAAATATTTCGAACAAAATTAGAATTATGAATGTATACATAGTATAATTATTATTTCATCACCCTGTACATATTGATTTAAATTGGATTTAAATTCTAAAAATTCTCATAGTTAAATTTAACTCGAATAATAATCATTTGAGCTGACGTTTATAAATAAAGTTAAAGCAATGGTAACCAATGGGAACATTTGTTAAAAGAAGAACAAATATTCAGTAGTCGAAAGTTTCAAAAGTACTTTATTAGTTAGAAGCATTTTGAAAAAAACGTGGTCTATTTTTTTAAAACACTTTGGTCAATAATCATAAAAATCTGAAGAGCTCACGTATAATGTTACACTTTTCGTGTGCAAAAAAAAAATTATAGTGAATGAAACTAATGCATTTCGTGTTTTAACTTACCTTCCTGAACAGTGTATGCCAATTTACGTAATAAACGTTGGTCTAATCTAATTGTGTAAATAAAGTATAAAAATCCTATTATGAAAATTGAAAAGGTAAATATTGTTTTCTACTTTAGAAAGTTATTACAAAAATAAGCTATAAACTTATTGTTGGCTTTTAGGTGGCTGTAGAATTTCAATTTTCTTTTTAAACCCTTAGAAAATGTTCAAAATAATGACTATGAATATCGTAAAAATCAATTTGAAGTCTTATAAAAACAAACACATTTTCCGAATTTTAATTTGTTTTTTCTGGCAATAAAAACCCGCAAACAAAACAAGCAGCTACCGCTATACCGAAATTTTTCTTTTAGGTCGTTTTATGACCTATTTAAAGGTGATTAAAAAGTGTAGTGCAAATAAATATGGTGCATATAAAGAACGAGTACCATTACAAAACAAAATAGATATAAATGGAAAATGTTTGAATTTTATTTGTTTGATCTACTAAATATTTCAACATGCATACGTGTATTTATAAAAAAATTCTTATTGTTTTACCCTTTTTTTGTTTCTATTTCAGCGGCTTTTCAGCATGTTCGTGACAATATAGAGAAGTTTGACACAAAAGAGGGCGTCAAGGAAACAGATCTAATTTTCTTGAAGGAAATAATGGACAACTGCGTCTTGAAAAATTTAGTAAAGGTACCTAAATTAACAACTTAAGAAATTTTTGTATTTGAGGCGATGTCTTTATACAGTAGAACTTTGATAACTTAAACCTCGATAACGTAATAAACTCTATAAATTCATAAAATTTTGCGTTCCGTTCCCCTCGGAGTCCAAAACCCTTATTACTTAAAATAAAAACCCTCTATAGCAAGCGAATAATTTGGGCATCGCACCTCAGTAAGCAGTGAAAAGCGGTTTGAAAAGACAAAGAATTGCTGAATTTTCCAAATTAGAAAATTGATTGATTACATGGTTTAGACAGTGTAGAAATATGTAAAAACATTAGAGTTTGTTAAGTCACTGGAAATCCATAATTTTAAAGCTTAAACTTAAACCCTTAATAAGTAAAAACCTCAATAACTCAAATTATTTTACGTTTCTCTGTGTCTTTATCTTATCGAGGTTCTACTGTATTCCATTTTTTTTTCAAATGTCAATATGACATTATAGTAAATAACGTTTGAGTTTTCAATCGGAAAAATAAGAACCGTCTAAACTAATTGTAAATCAGAGATTTCTTTCATTTTTATCGTTTCTGGGCGTAGCGTAATACTTTATCGTATCGCTTCATAAATATTTGAACAGCAGAACTTGAAATGAGTAATACCAATGGTATTTTTGTGCTATCCATATCCATATTCAACGCACTTAAAAATAATTACTCCACAAACATTACTATAATATGTTTCCAAAATCAACCTCTTGGAGTTGACGATGTTCGATACTCTTATCTATTTATAGGACAACGATGTCTTAAATTGTTCATGACACCTTTAATTGCAAATAATTTCATTGTGATAGTATGAATCATTAATGTAGTATTGCAATGACGAACTCTTTTCCTTTATTAAGTTATGTAATATATTCATCAGTAATATCTAATACGTACAATTAACGTAAAGTCAGCGTTAAGTAGAACGAACCGCTTACAAAGTAAAAACTGACCTACACTGTTAGTGACTAACGGACATTATTAAAATCACCCACCCACTATGCTGATAAGCCAGTTTAATGATACAATCATAATTTTACACTTAACGAATAGTAGACAAAGAGAAATCGCTTTCACGTACTTATAAAAATTTGAATGATAAGTGCTTTGATTCAAATACGGACTTTAAAAATAAACAATTGTTTTAGTGTATGATTCTGATCGTGCATATATATAAATATATATATAATATGATATCGAATTCGCGTTGCTTAAAAACATTGTTATTGCCTTTTCCAAAGCCACTTTGCGGTTTTTATCCGAAACAAATGGTCGTTTGGAAACAGGTAGGAATCAGGTGTATATTAAGGTCAATGATTTTTATTTGTTTGAAAAATAATAATACATAAAAACGTATAACAATAGGTTGTTTAACAAAACGAGATATCGTACTACCGTTTGTTAGTACAATTTCTGAAGTTTTAAATTATTAATGGATATTAAAAACAATTTAATACGATACCTATGTCGAGTGCTTTTTTTTTTTTCGTTAATATTTACATTTTTGTAAATATTTCTCTGTATGACCGCATATTCTTTTTTAAGCATTTATAAAACAAGTCAACAGTTTTATTGTTCCATCCACCATATGAAGTAATAGATTTTAATAAGTGTCTAACCAATTTAACCTTCTTTCCTGTATGACTTAAGTGACTTGGCTTACCTTCGTTAAACTAGAGCCACCAAGAGATTCAACTGTTTTAATAAATGAACCGCAAAATGCAGGACCGTATCTGGAAACAGTATTTATATTAGAAAAGTAAATGTGTAATACACATGTTTATATACTTAATAATAATTATGTATTGATTTAAACAATTACAGTTGATAATTTGCGCTTACTGTAAATATGTTAGCACCAAAACCCCCGTTGGGTATATAAATGTAAATTTTCGTGGGAAAACCCCGTATTGCCGGACCTTCCACGCACAGTCTAAAATGTTACGTTATGGATTTTGTTTGATACAGAACCCGGCAGATTATGTTTATCAGATATTTAGTTAGGCATTAATTGAGACCCCAGACTAAATTAATTCCAGAATCTTTTTACCTATTGTAGACCATTGGTGAGGATGTCTTTCTAATGTTTAGTTTTTCTTGGTAGAGCCACTTATGAGATGTTATAGGATGAGCTCCCAGGGAGTGGGTAGGAACTTCTGTCCACCACAACCTAACCTACCGTATCCGATCGAATAACACAAGCTAACATGACCTAGGTTAGATGGTTTATGATGGGTAAAAATACTCTTTTCTTTCCATGTTTCGAACTTTAGTAACATATGTACAATTTCCTACAAATTTCCCTATACAACGGGGACAAATGGCGATAAAACACAAAGTAGAGTGTATTAATATAAAATTTGAGACATACAACACCCAATAGAAAGTAATTTTTCAAAACAGCGCGCGAGTATTTTAGATTCAACGAGGCGCTTCTTCTTCGCGTTGTAAAATAACAATGGAGAAAGGGATATTATTCAATTGAATTCACGTCGTGGAAGTTAAAAGTCAAAAGCCGGTCCTGTGGGTGTCTTATAAAGGCCCCCACCTGTCGCGTTCTTTAATCCGTGAACTCTAGCGAAGGCTTCTCAACTATGTCGCGCTTCGCGCTACGTACCTGGTCCGCAACAGTGCTACATTCGATGCTCGGCCAGGAAAATACGTCCTGACAAAAATAAAGCGCGTCGCTTTTCCCGACAAAATATCGAGAAAAAGGAACAATAAAGTCGCCGAATTCGCGTGGCTGGCGACTTCTTGTGCGTGCGTTCGAATCCGGGCGTTTTCCGAGAGATTCGATCGAAGCTCCGGTAGGTACTTAGTGGTGACTGACCCTTTTATCGCAGTAACAAACAGCAGAACAATCGAGGGTAATGGAAAATCTCTGCTGAAGGGTGAGTAGCAAATATTAAAAAACTCGCGGCAGATTTTCGCCTTTTATATTATTATTATATCTGTAATTATAAACGCGCCTAGCATATATATGTATATATTTGTATATCGCTACACGTACACAAAGTTAAATGCCTGCTGCCACACCTGTGAAAGCCACCGTTGGATTTTATGGAAACTCGCGGCAACGCTGTTTGTCAGTATCCGATGAAATCATAAAATCGCTTCTCCCACAATTATTTATTCTGACTGATTTCGTAGAATTGAATCACTACAACGGCGCAATTTACATGAACGAGAGATCTTTCCAGATATAAAATGCTTTGGGTGTGAAATCGATGAGTTTGCAAAGCTTTTTTCGGTCACCACCCCAATGAGAATCTTTTCATAGAATCTACATATGTATTGCCTTTAGTTGAAAATATTCTATTATTACATTAAAAGACGCTTTACATTATCGAAAAACAATACAATTAATAAACTTTTAGCGGTGAAAGCTTGCAGTCGGGAAACTTATCCATAATTTTAAACAAATAAAGTTTCAAGAGCTTTTATCATTGTACACCTCACTACAGTATCATATCACTGTAAAATTTTAAAAATTGCAAGAAAATTATTGCTGGGATACGTACACAGACGTAGTGGTTTCATCAGGTGATAACTGACTAATTTTTATGAAGCTACTGTGTAGTAAAGCAATTGCTGTGTTCCCTTTTTCTTGAAGCTTTTGCTGTTTTACTTCAGTACATTATTGATAAGTTTCAATAAATATCAGCATTTACTATTATAAATAATATAGGAACTGCAATATTGTTTCACCACACTGTGGTACCATCAGGGGTCAATCATGTCCTGATGAAGCTTTTGAAATTAATACTTTAATTTAATTAGACGTTAATTAGTAGTATATTTTTTCTTATAATTTTCGTAAATCAATCTCCCAAAAAGACACTGACAAAATGATTTATAATAGACTTGGCAAAGAATTGACCGATAATACTAGCAAAAGTGTTAAATTGACCTCCCCAGCTTAAATTCCTTTGTTCGTCTTAGTAACTGAGTAACTTTTAAGGGCGTAAGATTGAAACAGGTATACGAGACCAGGTAGACAAACAAACCCTTTCCTGTCTGGCCATCAGGTGCCGGTCTATTTACATAAAAGCACCCTCAGCTACCGGGGGGTTTCACCACCGCCACCTTTTTACGTAACAATCATCGGAGGTAGAAATAGGGGAAAAAACCGTTATAACCTTTAGAACAAAACTTGTCGTCCCAATAAAATATTGCTATACTTTTATTGCAACTGTCTGCATTTAATAATGTAGCACAAACAATAAGGATAATTAGGTACTTTAGTTTTATTTATCATAATTTACTTTATTTAAAAGAAATTTCACTTTCCATTAGACGGATTTTTTCGAAAATACGCTCAATAAACAGTATTTCTATTTGTAATTAACGCCTTTCTCTAAGAGAAATTTCTTACAGGGTACAATAACAAAACGAAAGTATTTTGATTGAGCGAAAGAATTTTGAGTGAAATTGACTTTAAACGATTAACAAATAAGCAATTCTAAATCAATTAAGTATTATTTTAACTGAATTATTAAAATCTACCTACAAACTACATAGCAGAGAATACAAAACTTGTTGTATTCTACAATAAATCTTTAACGGCATATGTTTTGCAATCATGTGAACAAAACTAGGTCAAAACAAATACACAAAGCTATACTGTACTTATATATGTACATGTTCATTTGCGGAAGAAATAAAAAATGAGAACGAATTATCAATAAGAATTATAATGTTTTCATTTGTTTATAGCTTCCTGAAACGTCTACCAAACGTTCAACAAATTAATTGAATTAAATTACACAGACCATTATTTTCTTTTAAAGGTACAGGACAAACTTGAGGAATTGTCCGATCCTGTGTCTTTAGGAAACGAAAATCTTACAGAAGAAATTGTTTCTCGTTGTAACAAATCCCTAGTAAAAGAAGCAAAAGAACTTGCAGACCTTCTATCAAAGCCGCACGTGAAGGCCGTCATAAGAACACACGATACTATTGGTGAAAAAAGACTAAAATTTAACGAAAAAATAAACAGCAGTTCGAATATATGCAACATTATGACCGGCGAAGCTTTACGAGTAGTCGGGGTGAGGAAGAAACCTGGAGAACCCCTAGGTTTAACTGTAAGTGTAGATGCGAGGTGACAAAGTCTTCATTTACAAATTTGTCGCTAATTTGTTACCATATCCAAAAATTTGTCACTCCAGTCAGCTGCTGGAAAATAGACAAAATGTTTTCCTGATTGTCGCCAGTCTAAACCTTTAGCTATTTAGGGAACTATACATGGCATAAAGAAATACTGTATGGACCGTTGTTTGTCGCTGAAAGATGGTCGTTTTATCTATTCTGTCGTTAGTCTTGTTCTCCAGCTGTTCAGCGAAAAAGGACTGGAGAACTCTCAAGTTGAAACTAAAAATAGTGTAATGGCATAGAGAAATACGGTAAGGGCTTTAATTTGTCGCTGAAAGATGGTACCTTTTACCCATTTTGTCGCTAGTCTTATCTTCCAGCTGTCCAGTAAAAAACGACTCGAGAGCCGCCAAACTGGCATCAGACATGGAGTAGGTATCTCGGAATAGAAATGACGTAGAGAAATACTGTAAGAGCTATAAGTCGTTTTTCACTGGACGGCTGGAGGATAAGACCAGCGACAAAATGGGTAAAAGTACTGTCTCTCAGCGACAAATTAAAGCCCTTCCTGTATTTCTCTGCACCATTTCCACTTCAAAATAACTCATGTATAGTGCCAAATTGACAGCTCTTCGATCGATTTTCACTGAACAGCTACAGAACAAGACTAACGACAAAACGGGTAAAAGAACTATCTTTTAGCGACAAATCACAGCCCTTACAGTATTTCTCCACGCCATTTCCATTTCGAGATACACTAAGTATAGTTCCAGCTTGACAGTTCTTCAGTAGTTTTTTGCTAAACAGCTGGATCATGAGACCAGCGACAAAACGAGTAAAAGTACCATCTTTCAGCGACAAATTATAGCCCTTAGAGTATTTATCTAGGTCATTTCTAATTCGAGATATGCTATATGTAGTGCTAGCTTTATAGCTTTCCTCAGTCGTTTTTCGCTGGACAACTGGAGAAGCGACAAAATGGGTAAAAATACCATCTTTCAGCGACAAGCTATATTCGGCACANCTTAATAATAATTATGTATTGATTTAAACAATTACAGTTGATAATTTGCGCTTACTGTAAATATGTTAGCACCAAAACCCCCGTTGGGTATATAAATGTAAATTTTCGTGGGAAAACCCCGTATTGTATACATAGTATAATTATTATTTCATCACCCTGTACATATTGATTTAAATTGGATTTAAATTCTAAAAATTCTCATAGTTAAATTTAACTCGAATAATAATCATTTGAGCTGACGTTTATAAATAAAGTTAAAGCAATGGTAACCAATGGGAACATTTGTTAAAAGAAGAACAAATATTCAGTAGTCGAAAGTTTCAAAAGTACTTTATTAGTTAGAAGCATTTTGAAAAAAACGTGGTCTATTTTTTTAAAACACTTTGGTCAATAATCATAAAAATCTGAAGAGCTCACGTATAATGTTACACTTTTCGTGTGCAAAAAAAAAATTATAGTGAATGAAACTAATGCATTTCGTGTTTTAACTTACCTTCCTGAACAGTGTATGCCAATTTACGTAATAAACGTTGGTCTAATCTAATTGTGTAAATAAAGTATAAAAATCCTATTATGAAAATTGAAAAGGTAAATATTGTTTTCTACTTTAGAAAGTTATTACAAAAATAAGCTATAAACTTATTGTTGGCTTTTAGGTGGCTGTAGAATTTCAATTTTCTTTTTAAACCCTTAGAAAATGTTCAAAATAATGACTATGAATATCGTAAAAATCAATTTGAAGTCTTATAAAAACAAACACATTTTCCGAATTTTAATTTGTTTTTTCTGGCAATAAAAACCCGCAAACAAAACAAGCAGCTACCGCTATACCGAAATTTTTCTTTTAGGTCGTTTTATGACCTATTTAAAGGTGATTAAAAAGTGTAGTGCAAATAAATATGGTGCATATAAAGAACGAGTACCATTACAAAACAAAATAGATATAAATGGAAAATGTTTGAATTTTATTTGTTTGATCTACTAAATATTTCAACATGCATACGTGTATTTATAAAAAAATTCTTATTGTTTTACCCTTTTTTTGTTTCTATTTCAGCGGCTTTTCAGCATGTTCGTGACAATATAGAGAAGTTTGACACAAAAGAGGGCGTCAAGGAAACAGATCTAATTTTCTTGAAGGAAATAATGGACAACTGCGTCTTGAAAAATTTAGTAAAGGTACCTAAATTAACAACTTAAGAAATTTTTGTATTTGAGGCGATGTCTTTATACAGTAGAACTTTGATAACTTAAACCTCGATAACGTAATAAACTCTATAAATTCATAAAATTTTGCGTTCCGTTCCCCTCGGAGTCCAAAACCCTTATTACTTAAAATAAAAACCCTCTATAGCAAGCGAATAATTTGGGCATCGCACCTCAGTAAGCAGTGAAAAGCGGTTTGAAAAGACAAAGAATTGCTGAATTTTCCAAATTAGAAAATTGATTGATTACATGGTTTAGACAGTGTAGAAATATGTAAAAACATTAGAGTTTGTTAAGTCACTGGAAATCCATAATTTTAAAGCTTAAACTTAAACCCTTAATAAGTAAAAACCTCAATAACTCAAATTATTTTACGTTTCTCTGTGTCTTTATCTTATCGAGGTTCTACTGTATTCCATTTTTTTTTCAAATGTCAATATGACATTATAGTAAATAACGTTTGAGTTTTCAATCGGAAAAATAAGAACCGTCTAAACTAATTGTAAATCAGAGATTTCTTTCATTTTTATCGTTTCTGGGCGTAGCGTAATACTTTATCGTATCGCTTCATAAATATTTGAACAGCAGAACTTGAAATGAGTAATACCAATGGTATTTTTGTGCTATCCATATCCATATTCAACGCACTTAAAAATAATTACTCCACAAACATTACTATAATATGTTTCCAAAATCAACCTCTTGGAGTTGACGATGTTCGATACTCTTATCTATTTATAGGACAACGATGTCTTAAATTGTTCATGACACCTTTAATTGCAAATAATTTCATTGTGATAGTATGAATCATTAATGTAGTATTGCAATGACGAACTCTTTTCCTTTATTAAGTTATGTAATATATTCATCAGTAATATCTAATACGTACAATTAACGTAAAGTCAGCGTTAAGTAGAACGAACCGCTTACAAAGTAAAAACTGACCTACACTGTTAGTGACTAACGGACATTATTAAAATCACCCACCCACTATGCTGATAAGCCAGTTTAATGATACAATCATAATTTTACACTTAACGAATAGTAGACAAAGAGAAATCGCTTTCACGTACTTATAAAAATTTGAATGATAAGTGCTTTGATTCAAATACGGACTTTAAAAATAAACAATTGTTTTAGTGTATGATTCTGATCGTGCATATATATAAATATATATATAATATGATATCGAATTCGCGTTGCTTAAAAACATTGTTATTGCCTTTTCCAAAGCCACTTTGCGGTTTTTATCCGAAACAAATGGTCGTTTGGAAACAGGTAGGAATCAGGTGTATATTAAGGTCAATGATTTTTATTTGTTTGAAAAATAATAATACATAAAAACGTATAACAATAGGTTGTTTAACAAAACGAGATATCGTACTACCGTTTGTTAGTACAATTTCTGAAGTTTTAAATTATTAATGGATATTAAAAACAATTTAATACGATACCTATGTCGAGTGCTTTTTTTTTTTTCGTTAATATTTACATTTTTGTAAATATTTCTCTGTATGACCGCATATTCTTTTTTAAGCATTTATAAAACAAGTCAACAGTTTTATTGTTCCATCCACCATATGAAGTAATAGATTTTAATAAGTGTCTAACCAATTTAACCTTCTTTCCTGTATGACTTAAGTGACTTGGCTTACCTTCGTTAAACTAGAGCCACCAAGAGATTCAACTGTTTTAATAAATGAACCGCAAAATGCAGGACCGTATCAGGAAACAGTATTTATATTAGAAAAGTAAATGTGTAATACACATGTTTATATACTTAATAATAATTATGTATTGATTTAAACAATTACAGTTGATAATTTGCGCTTACTGTAAATATGTTAGCACCAAAACCCCCGTTGGGTATATAAATGTAAATTTTCGTGGGAAAACCCCGTATTGCCGGACCTTCCACGCACAGTCTAAAATGTTACGTTATGGATTTTGTTTGATACAGAACCCGGCAGATTATGTTTATCAGATATTTAGTTAGGCATTAATTGAGACCCCAGACTAAATTAATTCCAGAATCTTTTTACCTATTGTAGACCATTGGTGAGGATGTCTTTCTAATGTTTAGTTTTTCTTGGTAGAGCCACTTATGAGATGTTATAGGATGAGCTCCCAGGGAGTGGGTAGGAACTTCTGTCCACCACAACCTAACCTACCGTATCCGATCGAATAACACAAGCTAACATGACCTAGGTTAGATGGTTTATGATGGGTGAAAATACTCTTTTCTTTCCATGTTTCGAACTTTAGTAACATATGTACAATTTCCTACAAATTTCCCTATACAACGGGGACAAATGGCGATAAAACACAAAGTAGAGTGTATTAATATAAAATTTGAGACATACAACACCCAATAGAAAGTAATTTTTCAAAACAGCGCGCGAGTATTTTAGATTCAACGAGGCGCTTCTTCTTCGCGTTGTAAAATAACAATGGAGAAAGGGATATTATTCAATTGAATTCACGTCGTGGAAGTTAAAAGTCAAAAGCCGGTCCTGTGGGTGTCTTATAAAGGCCCCCACCTGTCGCGTTCTTTAATCCGTGAACTCTAGCGAAGGCTTCTCAACTATGTCGCGCTTCGCGCTACGTACCTGGTCCGCAACAGTGCTACATTCGATGCTCGGCCAGGAAAATACGTCCTGACAAAAATAAAGCGCGTCGCTTTTCCCGACAAAATATCGAGAAAAAGGAACAATAAAGTCGCCGAATTCGCGTGGCTGGCGACTTCTTGTGCGTGCGTTCGAATCCGGGCGTTTTCCGAGAGATTCGATCGAAGCTCCGGTAGGTACTTAGTGGTGACTGACCCTTTTATCGCAGTAACAAACAGCAGAACAATCGAGGGTAATGGAAAATCTCTGCTGAAGGGTGAGTAGCAAATATTAAAAAACTCGCGGCAGATTTTCGCCTTTTATATTATTATTATATCTGTAATTATAAACGCGCCTAGCATATATATGTATATATTTGTATATCGCTACACGTACACAAAGTTAAATGCCTGCTGCCACACCTGTGAAAGCCACCGTTGGATTTTATGGAAACTCGCGGCAACGCTGTTTGTCAGTATCCGATGAAATCATAAAATCGCTTCTCCCACAATTATTTATTCTGACTGATTTCGTAGAATTGAATCACTACAACGGCGCAATTTACATGAACGAGAGATCTTTCCAGATATAAAATGCTTTGGGTGTGAAATCGATGAGTTTGCAAAGCTTTTTTCGGTCACCACCCCAATGAGAATCTTTTCATAGAATCTACATATGTATTGCCTTTAGTTGAAAATATTCTATTATTACATTAAAAGACGCTTTACATTATCGAAAAACAATACAATTAATAAACTTTTAGCGGTGAAAGCTTGCAGTCGGGAAACTTATCCATAATTTTAAACAAATAAAGTTTCAAGAGCTTTTATCATTGTACACCTCACTACAGTATCATATCACTGTAAAATTTTAAAAATTGCAAGAAAATTATTGCTGGGATACGTACACAGACGTAGTGGTTTCATCAGGTGATAACTGACTAATTTTTATGAAGCTACTGTGTAGTAAAGCAATTGCTGTGTTCCCTTTTTCTTGAAGCTTTTGCTGTTTTACTTCAGTACATTATTGATAAGTTTCAATAAATATCAGCATTTACTATTATAAATAATATAGGAACTGCAATATTGTTTCACCACACTGTGGTACCATCAGGGGTCAATCATGTCCTGATGAAGCTTTTGAAATTAATACTTTAATTTAATTAGACGTTAATTAGTAGTATATTTTTTCTTATAATTTTCGTAAATCAATCTCCCAAAAAGACACTGACAAAATGATTTATAATAGACTTGGCAAAGAATTGACCGATAATACTAGCAAAAGTGTTAAATTGACCTCCCCAGCTTAAATTCCTTTGTTCGTCTTAGTAACTGAGTAACTTTTAAGGGCGTAAGATTGAAACAGGTATACGAGACCAGGTAGACAAACAAACCCTTTCCTGTCTGGCCATCAGGTGCCGGTCTATTTACATAAAAGCACCCTCAGCTACCGGGGGGTTTCACCACCGCCACCTTTTTACGTAACAATCATCGGAGGTAGAAATAGGGGAAAAAACCGTTATAACCTTTAGAACAAAACTTGTCGTCCCAATAAAATATTGCTATACTTTTATTGCAACTGTCTGCATTTAATAATGTAGCACAAACAATAAGGATAATTAGGTACTTTAGTTTTATTTATCATAATTTACTTTATTTAAAAGAAATTTCACTTTCCATTAGACGGATTTTTTCGAAAATACGCTCAATAAACAGTATTTCTATTTGTAATTAACGCCTTTCTCTAAGAGAAATTTCTTACAGGGTACAATAACAAAACGAAAGTATTTTGATTGAGCGAAAGAATTTTGAGTGAAATTGACTTTAAACGATTAACAAATAAGCAATTCTAAATCAATTAAGTATTATTTTAACTGAATTATTAAAATCTACCTACAAACTACATAGCAGAGAATACAAAACTTGTTGTATTCTACAATAAATCTTTAACGGCATATGTTTTGCAATCATGTGAACAAAACTAGGTCAAAACAAATACACAAAGCTATACTGTACTTATATATGTACATGTTCATTTGCGGAAGAAATAAAAAATGAGAACGAATTATCAATAAGAATTATAATGTTTTCATTTGTTTATAGCTTCCTGAAACGTCTACCAAACGTTCAACAAATTAATTGAATTAAATTACACAGACCATTATTTTCTTTTAAAGGTACAGGACAAACTTGAGGAATTGTCCGATCCTGTGTCTTTAGGAAACGAAAATCTTACAGAAGAAATTGTTTCTCGTTGTAACAAATCCCTAGTAAAAGAAGCAAAAGAACTTGCAGACCTTCTATCAAAGCCGCACGTGAAGGCCGTCATAAGAACACACGATACTATTGGTGAAAAAAGACTAAAATTTAACGAAAAAATAAACAGCAGTTCGAATATATGCAACATTATGACCGGCGAAGCTTTACGAGTAGTCGGGGTGAGGAAGAAACCTGGAGAACCCCTAGGTTTAACTGTAAGTGTAGATGCGAGGTGACAAAGTCTTCATTTACAAATTTGTCGCTAATTTGTTACCATATCCAAAAATTTGTCACTCCAGTCAGCTGCTGGAAAATAGACAAAATGTTTTCCTGATTGTCGCCAGTCTAAACCTTTAGCTATTTAGGGAACTATACATGGCATAAAGAAATACTGTATGGACCGTTGTTTGTCGCTGAAAGATGGTCGTTTTATCTATTCTGTCGTTAGTCTTGTTCTCCAGCTGTTCAGCGAAAAAGGACTGGAGAACTCTCAAGTTGAAACTAAAAATAGTGTAATGGCATAGAGAAATACGGTAAGGGCTTTAATTTGTCGCTGAAAGATGGTACCTTTTACCCATTTTGTCGCTAGTCTTATCTTCCAGCTGTCCAGTAAAAAACGACTCGAGAGCCGCCAAACTGGCATCAGACATGGAGTAGGTATCTCGGAATAGAAATGACGTAGAGAAATACTGTAAGAGCTATAAGTCGTTTTTCACTGGACGGCTGGAGGATAAGACCAGCGACAAAATGGGTAAAAGTACTGTCTCTCAGCGACAAATTAAAGCCCTTCCTGTATTTCTCTGCACCATTTCCACTTCAAAATAACTCATGTATAGTGCCAAATTGACAGCTCTTCGATCGATTTTCACTGAACAGCTACAGAACAAGACTAACGACAAAACGGGTAAAAGAACTATCTTTTAGCGACAAATCACAGCCCTTACAGTATTTCTCCACGCCATTTCCATTTCGAGATACACTAAGTATAGTTCCAGCTTGACAGTTCTTCAGTAGTTTTTTGCTAAACAGCTGGATCATGAGACCAGCGACAAAACGAGTAAAAGTACCATCTTTCAGCGACAAATTATAGCCCTTAGAGTATTTATCTAGGTCATTTCTAATTCGAGATATGCTATATGTAGTGCTAGCTTTATAGCTTTCCTCAGTCGTTTTTCGCTGGACAACTGGAGAAGCGACAAAATGGGTAAAAATACCATCTTTCAGCGACAAGCTATATTCGGCACAGTGTTTCCGTATGCCATTTTTATTTCGAGATACTCTATTTCTAGTGCCAGCTTATTGACATCTAGCTAGCATTTCGTTTATTTTACAGTAACCAGCTGGAACGACAAATTTTTGGATTTGGTGACAAATTAGCGACTTTAGAAATAAACAAATTATCTTTGTCGTGTCAGCTTGATATACGTATTCTATCATATACAATAAACTAACATTTCTCAATCTTCTGTTACTTTTAGGTGGAAGTTGACGCAAACAAAAACCTTGTGATAGCGAGGATTTTGGAAGGGGGAACGATAGACAAACAGGGTCTGTTACACCAAGGGGATGTAATTCTAGAAGTAAACGGAACTTCGGTATACACACCTGAAGAATTGCAAGCTGAGATAACCAAAGCCAGGGATTCTGTTACATTAAAAATTGGACCTAAACAAACAGAAAACAACGAAACTCACGCATCAATAGTCAGTAACGGAACGACAAATGGACTAACAAGAAAACTAACAGTAAGTCTTTAGCGTACTCAAGATGGGTAGTTGTGTCAAAAAATATCTTCATTTGTAGTGTTACATGAGAGCTTTATTTGCCTACGACCCTGAAGAGGACACCCTTCTTCCTTGTAAGGAAATAGGATTGAAGTTTGACAGGGGGGACATTCTGCAAATTGTCGATCAAAAAGATCCGAATTGGTGGCAGGCAAAGAAGGTAATCAGTGGAGGTCCCGCGGGACTTATCCCTTCCCCGGAACTGGAAGAAAGGAGAAAAGCGTTTGTCGCACCAGAGGCCGATTTCGTACACAAAATTGGCTTGTGCGGAACAAGGACATCGAAAAAGAAAAAGAAAATCATTTACCAATCGAAAAGTAACGTTGAGTTTGATAAGGCAGAACTTCTTTTATATGAAGAAGTTACGAAAATGCCACCGTTTAAACGAAAAACTTTAGTGCTGATAGGAACCCAAGGTGTGGGCAGAAGAACGTTAAAAAACAGACTGATTAATAGTGATCCTGATAAATTTGGAGCAGTGGTGCCCTGTAAGTGTTACCTGATTGTGTTTTGATTTTGGTCGAAAATTTAAATTCTTATTCAGGGACATCTAGACCTCCAAGAGTACTGGAAGAAAACGGCCAGACCTATTGGTTCACGGACAGAGAAACAATCGAAGAAGAAATAAAACAATACAAGTTCCTCGAGTATGGGGAGTACAACGGTCACATTTATGGAACCCACATAGATTCTGTTAGGGACGTTATCAAACAGGTTCGTTTTGGTCACATTGAAACCTTTGCACTTGTACTTTTCGATCGTACCCTGTATACCCATTTCTAACTTTCTCTAATTGCACATTACCATTCGTATAACAGTGATTTTAACTTTCACCTTATTAGTTTGAAAGTATTTAAACAAATGTTTTAAATTAAATTCCTTTTGTTTTTAGGGAAAAATGTGCGTACTAGACTGCGGACCAGCCGCCTTAAAGATTCTTCATAATAGCACAGAGTTTCTTCCCTATGTAATTTTTATAGCAGCTCCAGGTATGGAACAACTTAAAAATTTATATGATGTTAGCAAAAGTACCAATAATCTACGGTATTCCAGTAGGAACTTAACGGTAAGGATATTTTAATAAATTTGATTTAAATATTCTTGTAACACACATATGCTAAAAACCCTTAATGAAATAAAGGAGAAAGAATAAATATAAATCATCAAGTTGAAAAAACACTTGAACCATGAAATTTTGTTATTCCTTCTCTTTTAATTCTGATTTATGCAGTAGAATATGTAAATGTTTATTAATTATGTATTGTTTAAAACAGTTTGATCGTCAAAGTTCAATCAGATATAGTTCAAGAAGAGCCAGAACTTTAGAATCTCTTGCATCCCTTTATGAGGTAAGTTTATTTATTTTCTTCTATATAGCCATTGCATGTAGGGAATTCCCCTTTGAATTAATAACTGTACAATCTTGTTTTTTTTAGGAGGATGATCTTAAGAAAACTTTAGAAGAAAGTGCGAGTATGCAACGAACTTATGACAAATATATAGATCTAGTGATTACAAACAACGACTTTGATACCACTTTCAGAGAAATTGTTCGGGCATTGGAGTCATTAACTACTGAACATCAGTGGGTACCAGTTAATTGGATTTATTAATTTATAAGTGCTTATATTAATTCGTTTTTTGAGTCAACGAGGAAAATATTTTTAATTTTGTAAATACATAAATGTAAGTAAGACGGAAAAGCATTTCAAATGTGGGCCTAATCTGTAAATAATTTAAAGATAAAAGTGTCCTCCGTCCTGTGCTTTTTCTTCAACTTAAAATTCATTCATTGGTGCTGATAAGATTAAAAGTAATTGTTTTGAACACCAAAAAGCATAGTTTCAACACAACTGATTGTATTTTCATTTGTACCTATAATAGGCAGTGCGCTTACTTAATAAGTAGGTGCTGTTTATAAGAAATAGCATGTAAAACATTGTAAATCGTTTGGTTATTACAGTTACCAGGCAAATGATAAGTTTATACTTTAAACATTAGAAAGATAGGGATAGTATCTAGTATATATAATTATAATATATTGAAACTATACATTATATTGTATAAAAGTGAGTAAGACCGTACTTTATTATTGAGGCATAAGGCAATTATGTACAGAAACAAAGAGCAAAATTGACAAAGTGTGTAACACTTTAATGTACAATAGTTGCTTTTGTATGAATTATTTTGCAGGAGCTCTGCTACAGGGGAAATTTTCATATATTTAGATGTTTAAGAAACTAGAGTAGTACTTTTCTATTTTGTATCATACTCATAAAAAATAATCCGTCCATGTGTTCTTATAATGCGTTATCATTTTTGTAATTGTTATTTTATAGTTTTTTATGTGTATTTTGAAAAACTGCCGTTAAACCAATGCGGTGGTTGATGATCTCCCCAGAAGAAACCATCGTGTTAATTGTTAATAATAACAGTTATTTATCTAATTACAACTTATGGTCTTATCGTCAAAAAATATACATTCGAGTGTTTTTTAATAAAGCTTCGGAATTAAAACCGTTTAATGTAATTTTAATAGTATTTTTACCTTTGCGCGTCCATGTGGGGGAATCACTGGAAGTATCCTCGGAGAGTACAGTAATTAAGCACTTTTGTTAATCACATTACCGCATGACGACTATTAACTAATAATAACTCATAACAAAACTGTAATTAACAATCGCAAAAAAAAACCGTTACAGAGAACATAACCTAACTGAACAAAAACGGCGCTAAACACACGTTTTAGTTCAGTTGCACTCTTAATAAGTGAACAGCACTTTTGAGAGAGTAAGAAGAAGAAGAAGAATCAAGTTCAGTTAAGCTGGGCGGTATAAACTTAAATTTAAATGCTAATTTAATCAATTAAATTATTGAGAAAAATAAATAAATAATTCGTTTGCGGCCTTTATTGATTTAAAAATGATTATAAATCAAATTTACATTTTAATCTATTCATCTGTTGAATCGTCAATAAATTCTGAAGAATATTCAGCAGGAAATTCCTTTCTTATAAAATCCAGTATATCATATCCTGTTGTCCATTCTAAAATACGTGCTCTAATTTTATAAGTCTCTCCAGTTTTCTCAATAGGTTTCCCCTCTTTCGCCGTTTTAATTAAATCCTGGCATTTATGGAATTTCCTTACACAACCAATATCTTCTTCAGAAAGTCTTACAATTGGACAGAAATCATTCGATCCATCACCAATATATACAACTGGTCCATAATTTATACCCTCCTCTTTTTGGCTAGCAATAAAATTTTCCATTATTTGGCCTTTGCAGAGGTTTTTAGCACTCAATTTGCAAGTAGTTTGCAAATGGTATTTGCTAATTATTAATTTGCCGTTTCTAAATTCAGCTGGATTTGTAAATACTTTTCTTATGTAATTTGCAAGGCGTTGCGTTTCAAGCCAAGAATTGATAAAATATGAATTTGAGTCGCTAATAATTATAACATCAAAGTTAAAGTTCTCCTGTAATTCCCTGATAAGGGTGCAAATTCCTGCTACTGGTGGTATTTCATTGATTCGTTCAGTCAGTGTTTGTTGGGTGATACCTTTTGAACGTAAAATATCAAAAATTCCTTGCATATAAGACGTCCAACCGTCATTTCGATAGACCTCTTTCAGGGTGAGGGGGATATCTCTCCTGTTTATTAGGTCAATGGCAACCGTATCAGAGTTTTCATTAAGTATAGTATGATCAAAGTCAAACACTCCTAGTGGCTTATTAGTCATCTAAAGAACAAACAACATTTAATTAATATTGCAAAAAAACAACATAAAACTGACCTTCCATGAACTATGAAATTTAGGTGCATGTGTGATCGAAATGAAACAGCTACCAATAAAACTGCATGCCAGGTTGTCTTATTTAAAGAAATTGGCGCTGTTCCACTGTAAATGACACAATTGTAAAGAGAACGTTTACATTCTACAAAGAGCACATTTGTACCATGAGGGTATGTTAATAATAAAACCCAATAAGTAAATTTAAATATATCCTACTCCCTTAATAATTTGACATGTGTAAGTACCTTGTTATTATACTTGTGATTAAATTTAGATCTTCGGGCCATTATTTTTTATATTAGTATTTGTTTCTATTTGTATTAATTTTGTTTTGTATATTTGTATGACAAATTCAAAAATTTTTAACATAACCTTTAACTTCTGAAATAATATTCAATTATACCAATAAAAAATATATATGGAAATTATTTAAAGAGTATTATTTAAGGTTGAAAAAAGCGTTGGAAATACTGTTAAAAGTTAAAGGTTTATTTAAAAATCTTTATTAAATGGCACATTCCTACCAATTACTCTATGGATATTGCTTTTCTGTGGATTGATTTTCTATTTATGTTTTCTATGATTATTTTGAGCATAACCTTAAATTTTTGTCGGTTATTTGATTTTTATGTTTTTAAAACATAATTACTTTAAAAATGAGTACAGACAAGAGTCACACAAATGTTCAGAGCGAAACAAGTTTGTTTGATAATAATTATAGTTTTTGCCATCGAGAGGTGCTTGATATAGATAAGATATTATCCGAAAACATCGAAAGCCTAAATTCTTTATCAAACAATATCCTTTTTTTACTTGAAGGACCTAATTATGCAAATAATCAGGTATTAAACTATGTTGAAGAAACTAAGGATATGGTAGCACAAGTAAGGCCTTTTATGTTACAAGAAGACAGCAAGAAGAAAAAATTAAACAATAAAAACATTCACAAAGAAATTAATCAACTCAGGAAAGATATTGAAAGAGTTTCTCAAGAAATTGATCAGCTACAGACTGGTATGTTGTCTTTGCAACTAAAAATTAACATTTAGCTTGTAATATCCAATTTTTAGAGAAAGAAGATGCAATATCCATGGGAATTTCCTACAAAAAGGCTCTTAATTATTATACCACCAATTTTGATTTTAAAATCGAAATGGACGAAAAAGTAGATGAAAATAAATACTGGGTAAAATTGCATTTTGGAGATAAACTTCAGTTTCCAGTAAAGTTTTTATTTAATCAGGATACAGCTACTGTAGAAGGTATTTTTACAAAATTCTGATTTATATTTGCTTAATACATCTAGATTTTTTAAGATTTTGATTCCCTTACACTCCTTTCACCTGATGAAGAGGCTACTTTAAAGAACAAATATTACAAAGAACAAGATATATGTATGGTGTTGAAATTGTTAAGGAATTTTGCTTTACACAAAAGTTAATGCTGAAGTCTAGTTTTATGTTATTAAATTATAATACTATACTATATAAACTATATACTTTTGTATGCAATAATTAAAAATAAATTTTGAAATATTTGTATTATGTTTAATGTGAATAAGATGAAGAAATACATATGAGAGATGTTTGATGGTGGTGAATGTCTCCTCTAAATTTGAATTTAAAATAACCGCGGAAAGTAACGCGCAAATAATACGCCATCTAGTAATCACGTGACCGACGCTTGCCGCCATTTGTGCTGTGTAAACAGAGCGGCCCGGGTCTTAAAGACGTTATTGAGGTGTTCGAGTTTCATTTTGTGTTGTTTTGTGGAAACTTTTACTGTGAAAATGTCAGAAGTAGAAGCAGTAAATGCGAATAATTCAGTGATTGACGAAAATAGTCAGGTAAATGGGTAAAGTTGTTGTGGATACGTAAAATAGCGATATGTGAAATCCGATGTTTGATGCAATGTGGACGTAATGGGTAGATGCGCTTAGAATGTGCCTATACAGAACCATCAACATTGCGTTGTGCGTTACAGTCTAATTGACGAGGAAATGTTTCACTTATTTTTTAATGATGAAAAGTGGTTGGAAGTTGGGCTTTGTTCTATTTACGTTAATTTATTTATTCAGGAACGTTATCTTCTATTCTTAGCTCGGTGTGATAAATGAAACAATCCCTCCAAAGCGGAAAATAATTTTAATCGTGTGAATGTATCAAATACATACGTCTTGACGACATGACCCCCTTGTTTAGCGTTTATTTTGCTCACGTATGTCGATGATACGACGAATGTTTTTATCCGTTTTGGAGGGAAACATGGTCTTGATTTAAAATTTCAATGCTCTCCTAATTTCATCGTTTTTTTCGTTTTAGAATGACAAAAGTCCGAAAGGAAAAAAGAGAAAAGTTTCGAATTTAGACAGAGCTCGTGAGGAAAGCGAAGCTATTATCAAGGTAATTAAAATGGGAATATTTCATGTCTTTGTTTACATATACAATCATGTTTATTTTATTGAAATTGTTAATTTAAGTGCACAAGTATTTATTGAAATGTTACTTGTTGATGGAACTACTCCAGTAAGGTATTTTTTTTAAATGTAGGGATTAGGACCAGAAGTTGAAGGTAGGAGACGTACAAGGTCTGCTGCCAGAGGAGTTGCTGCAACACCACCACCACCCCCACCTCCTGTCAAAAAAGAACGCAAAGAATCTACAAAGAAAGGTGAGTTACTCTTAAATTTCATTAAGTATTTTCCTTGTATTTATTTATATAATGAAAAATTGTAATCGAGTTCACCTTGTTTTGTAATATTAAGTTGTTAAATGAAATAACTTGTTTGTAGTTTTGTAGGTGTTAATTTGTATCTAGATATTATGTGACATTCTTTATTGTAAACCTGTATTATATATATATATTCTTATAATTCTTAAATGCACACGTTATGCAAAGTAAATTAATAATAACTTTACTTTATTATAGGTAAAATTTATCAAGACAGTAAAATAAACTTTAGTACGTTATGTTTAGAACTGATTAGAAGATAAAGTTGTAAAATGGTAGTTTCTTTGTTTTGTTTAGGGTCACGTGGTCGTCCTAAAAAGAATGCAACTGTGGAAAATGATACAGATTCTCACGATGAAAAAGACACTTCTTTGACCGATACAGCAAAAGAACAAAGAAAAGAAGAAGAAGAGGATGAAGAAAAAAGCGAAGCCAAACCAGTAGAAAATAACACACACGAAGAAAAAGAAGAGGCCGCAAACAATAACGCGCAAACGAGCGATTCGAAGGTAAATTTTCCTGAATGTTAATGAACTGTAATCATTAATACAGTGGATAATCAATAGTGTGAACCAACGACTTTTTTCCTTGATATTTTTATAACCACCATGTCTCTCTACTGTCCACTGTGTTAGTATATACAAACTATATCTTTATTTAATGAAATTGTACTCAACAGTTTAGAATTTGCAAAATGCAAATAACAACTAACAACAAACTGTGGGTCTATTTAAAAGTATCCATGAATAAAATTATATCTCTTTAGTTAATATGACTAGGGAAAGTACCAAATATATGGAAAACATAGAAATGGCGCAACAGTACGGTGTAATATCGATTTTTAAGGTCAAGGGACATTTGTTTCCATAAGCGGAGGTTTAGTTTGTTATAGATGTATGATGTATTCTAATTATTAAAATTGTTTTTTGAGAGAGTTGTGATTATAATACAGCAGTATAGAACATATATTTATGTATTGTATTTTCCTGTTTTAACAGGAGACACAAGAGAACGGGGCCAAAGAAGACAGCGCAGATGCGCCCGTATCAACGGAAGAGAAATCCGAAGAGAAGAAATCGTCAGAGGCGAATAAAGAGAGCAGCAGCACCGGAGGTGAAGAAAGTACGAGTGCGATACAAGACGAGAATAAACCGTCAGAGTAAAAGTTGTGTATGTATCAAATAAGAGTTAAAACAAAAAACAAAAAATAATTTCTATTTACTGTAGGTTTTCGCCTATATATCTCTGTTTACAGTGTACTTTTACCATTTTTGGCTACGTGTGTACGTCTGCGTTTCGACTTTGTTTTTCCCTTCATTCCTTTCGGTTTCTCTTTATTTTCCCGTTATTCGTGGACGAATGTAATTGTTTATGGTACGACGTATTACGAGATTTAAATTTAATAAGTTCGACTTACATTTTGCTTGTACAAACAACTAAAGTTTAAAGAGTTTTTTGTTGTTTTATAGTGGCATTTTTATTCAAATGGTAAGAATACATTTTAAGGAGGTTTAATTACACATTTAAAAAAGGAATGAAAAAGAAATTGCTGTTAATATGCTGTAAAATTGGATTATAGTATAAATAGTTCCATTCTTTTGTACATTTTTATATTAACGGTAATTTAACATACAACATCCTGCATACAATCTATGGATAATTTTTATCATCTTGAAGCAGATATCGTTAGAGTTTAGGAGGTAAATTTGAAAAATTAAACTTTCGTGTCATTCTGGGGATGTAACTTACATGAATGAAATTTGTTTGTATATTAGAATAATTATAAAAAGAGTAATTAGTGATTGTAATTATTATTAATACACTTTGATTCTTTAGATCACACACACACATACACATTCAAAACACATACATACACATACGATTACAAACGTAGTTAGTACGTTGGTTTTTCTTTATTGTCCACATCTAAACAAAAAAAGAACTTTCAGTTTTTTGTAATTTGTTTCGTTGCTTTTTTCGGTTTTTATTTTTTTTTGTATTGCATAATAACAGTAGACTGTAAGATGTATTCTAATATAGAAAGCCATTATTATAGAGACGTGTTTTATTTTTTAGACGTGAATTGAATTGAAGTCTTGTTAGGTAAGATAGTTTCAATTTTTTAAAATATATCTTCTCGATTGTCTATGTAACAAATACTGTACGATCTTGAAACGATCAATAGAAAGAAAATTAAAGTCGTGTTTTATTCTTAAAAAAAATTGTATTTTTAAAATCGCGAAAATATTACATTTAAAATAATCTAAATCTATTAACTGTTCAAAAGAGTAACAAAACAATTTTTCTGTCAGTTGTAGTGATAAGAAATCTTGAAAACAGGTGAAATAAGAGTTAGTTTTACTCAAAATTAGTGAAAATTCATAATTCAACTAGTTTAAATAAATACTAATTAGTAAACTTTTCATAAAATGTCTAGTTGAGTACTGCACTTGTCATTCCAAATAAGAATTTTATTTAAAGTGCTGAAAAATTAAAATAAGGTGCTTTAGATATCAACCAAAAATCTATGTACGGTAAGTGCTTTACTTTCACATTGTATTAGTCTGTGAAATTCCATCAGAACAGCCTCCATTTATTAAAATATGGGAATGATCCTTTTTATAACGGGTTATTGAAATTAAACAGGAAAAGCTATTGAAAATTTTATTGAAAAATTTAGATGAGACATTTTTTTTATAATGAGATGAATGGATGACTTTTTTTTTAATGATAAAGACAAATCAGAAATGCTTCAAGTTCATTAGAATTAACTTATACCTGTATAAAATTATTAATCTTACAATTAAGTTGTATAAAGTATCCCAATAGAGCTTATAAATATATATTTACTTAAAAATGGAATGATATTTATTAACATTAGGATCTAGTATATTTTCCCCAGATGTGTAACATAAATACAGAAGCAATAAATAGTAGAGACATCACAAGGACTGGTACTGGGCCCCTGAAAGGAATAATACCTCTACAGATTCTACTATACTATTATACTAAAATAAAAGTAACATTACCAATTAGCAAGTTATGTAGCAATGCTAGTAAGCTGATAAAAACTATTGTACATATTATTATGAAAACTAGTGCTACTTACACTTTGATACCTGGAGAATCATCAGTGTAGAACCTCCACATGCCTCCAGAACCAGCACCTGTGTTTCGGCTTCTGGCAGCTGTAGTTGTTGTAGTTTTACGTTGTTTTACAGTACCACCTCCACTTCTAGGGGCAACAACTTTGGAGGGTGATCTTCCAGATGAACCCACATTCGTAGAACTTGGTGAAGCAGGCTTTAGAAAAGAAATAAAATAAAGCTGCGCCTGGAACTAACCTAACTTATACACTTACCATGTTTGCTTTTTCTTAATAACAGTAATGGTAATTTTTCTTCAATAAGGTGGTCTATAATAACAGAATGGAAATGAAACGAGCAACGTGGAATGAACTGCCTTTCAATAAACTTTTTCTTCCCCTTCCAAAAACTGCCTCGTATTTTACTAAATTCTGACACGTCGACAAACGTCATCAAAACATTACGATTCTGTTTAAGAAAGTTTAGTTTGATGACACAAAAGTTTGTTATGTAATGTTGGTTGTCTAGTTATTTGTTTTCTTAATTTAGGTCATGCTTTTCTTTCAGGTTGATCATTGTTGACAGGTGACATTTGTGACGATCCTGACACATGATATGTTTGATTGATATTTTTAATGTAAAAAAAATATCCTTATAATGTATTATTTGGTCAAGTTTTGTAGGATTTGTATACAAACAGACAGAAAGTTACTCGACATAGAATCTTTAGACTACGATTCCATAAAACTTAGTGAAAAACTGAAGACATGTACCCAAATGGTAATAAAACAAGTTGTTTATTATAATAAAAAGATGCCATATTGATTTTCTGTCACAGGTTATTAGTGAAGAGAGTCTCTCAACAAAAATATGCACATCATGCATTCAAAAATTACGAATATCATATCAGTTTCATTCCATGTGTAAAAAATCTACCACAATTTTGCAGCATCACCTTACTGAACTTTTACGGGGATGTGAGAACCTGGATGCTGATAAGTTTGTTAATTGTGAATCTCTAGTAACGTTGCCCCCCTCCCAGAAGGTCAAAAGAAAAAGAGTAGGTAAAGATGAGAGATGTTCTTTATTAAGAAAATTATTATCAAAGATTAATGAGGATCAAGTAGTGGAAAACGTTCACATTAATGGTTTGACTAAACTTTGTGATAATTTAATGTCAACCACTTCTCCACTCTCAACAACTCATTTACATAATCGTCACGATTTAAAATTTAAAAGTACAAATAGAAAAAGTAATTTAGGAAATCTCATTCGGTTTATGAAAGAGTTTGATTATGGATATGATATAAAAAATGCCAAAAGCATTTGCAACAGCTGTGATCTGACTCCTTTAGAGAAACTTAAAAGATTCACTAACACATTCTTTTTTGATCATTTTAGTGATTACCGAAATACAGTTATACATCTTAGAGATGGTTTTGATTTTGATAGCAGTGAGGATGAGAGTATGTTTGAAAAGTGTGTTGATGAATGTTGTGATACTATTAAGACTGAAAATAATTTAGTTCAATGTAAAGAAGAGTTAATTATTGTAGAGCCTGAAATTACAGTTAAATCAGAAATCGAAAATGATAGTGAATGTGATTTAAATGATTTTTCATTTACTTCCAATCTGGTGCAGGCATGTTATGATGACAATGAAACGACAATTATTAAAAGAGAAACTGAATGTGGTAGTGAATCTGATGAGTTCTCTTTTACATCAGATTTAGTACAAGCTTGTTATGATGAGAGTTCGAATTGTAGTCCTTCAATTAATTTTAAACAAGAAAAAATAGGCGATCCTGAAAGTCTGAGTCCAGTTTCGAAATTAGAAACAATTACCCGAAATATAAATTTATTAGAAATGGATAAAACAAATTTACCGTCCAGTAAAAGTACATGTAACTCTTTATTGTCTTCTCTAACGCTTTCATATTCGTCTTTAACAAGTGGTCGTAAAATGAATAAAATGTTTTCACCCGATAATATCCGTTGTAGAACAAGAGGAAATCCTTTTATAAATCCTCAACTGAAAAAGCAATTCCTTTTTCGTAGCTTTTTATGCGAAGTGTGTAATAGACGCTTTAAAAGTCAAGGGTATCTCAAAGCTCATAAAAGTAAATTAAGGCATTAGATGGAAAACGTGCAAACTGTTTTTATGTATTCACATAATGGTACTTTTGTTGAAATTATTTGATTTTTTGATCTATATTCATGTTTTATATGTGTATATTGTTCAAGTTCTGAGTTTTATCAGAATTGTTTGTGGTTTATATTTATAAAGCTTTTATATATTTTTGCTACAGACAAGGATGGTTTTAAATTAATTATTGTTTTGTTTTTATTAAATAAATAGAACTTTATTTCATTAAATACCTATTTATTGGTCCTTCAGTTCCTTTATAAAAAATAACTTACACGTTAATTAAAAATTAGATTTAAGTTTTAAAGATAATGACCTTAAATGACCAATATTTTCATCCCTTAATTTCATGAAAATGATTTAAATAAGTAAAATAAAAAAAAGATGCGGTAGCGCGAAAATATATAAAATTCTTTTAAATTTAGTTCCACTGATTGCCGTCCGAAAGCTACCGATCTCAAAGATGTGCTTTCCGAAACTGGCCGATTCAAGAAAGTTTTTCTACTAGAAAAAGTATTGTTAATAAAGCGATAAAGTTAAGATTGATAGATAATTAAACAATGGAAATAGCTAATGCAACAGGGGTGGGCACCACGGGGGTTCAAAGAACCTCAAGGGTAATGATGGAAGGTGTCGGAGCCCGTGTAATTAGAGGTCCTGATTGGAAATGGGGTAAACAGGTTAGGACTTATCATTAAAAATATTTTGATTATTGTTAAATGGAATTTTCAATTTAGGATGGTGGCGAGGGTCACGTAGGTACCGTTCGTAATTTTGAGTCGCCTGACGAAGTAATCATTGTTTGGGATAATGGAACTGCAGCCAACTATCGTTGTTCTGGCCAGTATGATTTGAGGATTTTAGATAGTGCTCCTACAGGTGTCAAGCACGAAGGCACAATGTGTGATACTTGCCGTCAACAACCTATATTTGGGATTCGTTGGAAATGTGCTGAGTGTGGGAATTATGACCTGTGCTCCTCATGCTATCATGGTGATAAACACCAACTAAGACATAGGTTTTATCGTATTGCCACTCCTGGGAGTGAGAGAGTCTTCCTTGAGACGCGTCGTAAAAGTAAAAAGATTGCAGTTCGTGGAATCTTCCCAGGAGCTCGCGTTGTTCGGGGTGTAGACTGGCAATGGGAAGACCAAGATGGTGGTAACGGTCGAAGGGGAAAAGTGCAAGAGGTCCAGGATTGGTCAGCGGCAAGTCCACGTTCAGCCGCTTACGTGGTCTGGGACAATGGCTCTAAAAATCTCTACAGAGTGGGATTCGAAGGAATGGCTGATTTAAAAGTTGTTAATGATGCAAAAGGTCATACAGTATATCGGGACCACCTGCCTTGTCTGGGTGAACAAGGATCTGGACGTACAGGTAAAGAAACACTTTATCAAAGGTAATTAAATAAGTTCTAAGGGCTTCTGTTGTTAATTAGGACCTCCAGGTTTAAAAATTGGTGATCAAGTAAATGTAGATTTGGATCTGGAGATTGTCCAGTCTCTCCAGCACGGTCACGGGGGTTGGATTGATGGCATGTTTGAATGTTTGAGTAACACAGGCACCGTGGTCGGCATTGATGAAGACCACGATATCGTGGTGGCTTACAATAGTGGCAACAGGTGGACATTTAATCCCGCCGTCTTAACAAAAGTAGCATCTCCTTCTTCAGTCGAGGGATACAACGAGACTCCTCAGCAACAGTTTGCCGTTGGGGATGTCGTCCAAATATGCTCCGATCTCGAACGAATCAAAATGTTACAGAGAGGCCATGGAGAGTGGGCTGATGGAATGGCATCAGTAAGAAAATGAAAATTTTTTAATTTTTTTGAATTTAACATAAGAGTTTTATTTTCTCTTTAGACATTAGGTAAAATCGGGCATATCCAGCAGATATATAACGATAACGACCTTAAAGTCGAGGTGTGTAATACCACATGGACCTATAATCCCTTGGCAGTGACCAAAGTTGCTAGCAAAGATGGCACAATGCACGGCACCACCAGCGGCGAGCGTCTTAGCGCCTTATTGAAGAAGCTCTTCGAGACTCACGTGTCTGGAGACGTTAATGAAGAGCTGGTGAAATCAGCTGCTAATGGAGATGCCCAAAAGGTCGAAGAAGTCCTCAAACAGAGCAATGCAGCTTCATCGGTTGGTGGAGGGCCTGATGTTAACGGCGTTTTTGCTGGACACACCGCACTTCAGGCTGCCAGTCAAAATGGGCACCTGGAGGTCATTGCCATCCTGCTGAGACATAACGCCGATGTTGAAATTGAAGACAAAGACGGCGATAGAGCTGTGCATCATGCTGCTTTCGGAGACGAATCTGCTGTTATGGAAGTGTTGGCACATGCGGGGGCTGATTTGAATGCCAGAAATAAACGAAGACAGACTGCGTTACATATTGGTGTCAATAAAGGACATGTCGGGGTCGTCAAGATGTTGTTGGACCTTGGTTGCCATCCAAGTCTACAGGTAAGTCTTTTTATAAAGCTTCTTTACCAAAAAAGAAAAGGTTTGGCTTACTGTAATTGAGAATGTAAATTTTGGAAAAATAATAGGAAAGAAAAGTTTACAATGATTACATAAAAGGGGTTTGTATGTGATGTTTTTGATGTTAGTTGGAGAGTTAATTTTTGTTCTTAATTATTTATCTTCAAAGAAATCAAAACAAATTCTATTATTTATTTCGAAGCAGTACTTTTACAACAATTAATTAACAGTTAAACAGTTATGTAGCACTTTATAATGCATTTCAAACAAGAGCAGAACCTTTCTTCTTTGGTCTATATTTTGCTATTCTTGTAAATTTGTGTTTGGATGTTGTGGGGAGTAATTCTTTCAGTATAATTTAATTAATTTGGGTCTGGAAGAATATTGGCAATAAATTTGCGGCGTTTTTTTTTTATTATAGTATGCATTTTAAATCGATGGAGGTATTTATCAAAGTGATTTGTAGGCGTTACATGTTAATTACTATTATGAAAATTAGGTGTTTTAAATACGCCACGCTGGTAAGAATTATGCGACAGGAAGGAGTTGAATGGTAATTCAAACGATAATAAATAATGTCGTGTTGGTTTTTATGTTTTCACCATTATCGTTAATAAAATCTCTGTAAGGCGTTTTTCACGTTACTTTAAAAAAGAGAGAAAATATTTCATTCTGAAATGAAAGCGATTATTATGCGCATTACGAAGGATATGTAAATTTGTTTAATGTTTTTTTATTATTTTAGTAATTATTAACTTTGAATTTGAAAATTTTTGAGTTTAAATTATTATCTTTAAAGCATCTGGTGGCCAATAGCTAAACTAAACATGTGACTGTCACAAAAGTGACAATTTAAATTAATGGTATTAACAATTGAGTACTGATGGCGCTAGTAGGAACGAAAGCGAATTTAGTTGTATCAGAATAACACCTTTAGGTGGCGTATAGGTGTCCATTTTAGATTATTGTAACAAAAATTCAATTAAAGTATAATTATTGTTTTCTAATTAAGCGAAAAGTAATATTATAATATGTTGTGCGATAATCTTGCAAGTGAGTACATTACTTTACTTTCATTTTATTATTCGCGTCGAAATATTTTATAATTGATGTTCTACGTATGTGTATATGTATGTAGGTACTACTGTTGTCGTAATGAAATCAATTATTCTTCAATATTAATTATTTTCGTTGAAATTATTACATTAGATCAGTGTTTTTAATAAGTTTTTGGTCTGGGACTTTATTTTAAATATTTTAGAGGACCTCTCCGAAAGAACAGGTAGGTGTAGAAAAACATGGCGGGGGGTCTGAAATTCAAAAGGAGTTTAATTGCATTGAAATACTCACAATTTTTGATTAAAAATACATTTATTGTTAGTATCAATAAGAATTTATACATTATCATAGTTACATGTTTGGAGAAAGTATTATATTTTGGGCAATGTTTTTATTGAATTGTCGTCAATTTTTCTGCGACCCCAAGTGTTTTCCGCGACCCCCACTTTGAGAAACACTGCATTAGACGGAGAGATTGTGCAATGGGGTGTTTAATACAGCTTTTATAAGAAAACACTTCAGTAAAATGCGTATTGGTTTAAATTTTTCTTATTTTTTTCCTCCCTGTGAAAAAGTGCTACGTCATGTAACACTTTTTCAATTTCATGTAACACGACACCGATCCGTGAGTTTTTCGCCGGTGAAATTGCGCGAAACGCGTTGATGAGTTAAGTTTTTTCCTCGGTTCCGTGACGTCGCGAGGCGTACGCGTCCCGACGCTCCGCGCGCCAGCTTCGATCTCTCGGATCGCTTTGCATGTTGCGAAGAGTCGCGTCGCCGGAGCTTTTCCGGAGTTTTCTTAAAGTGGTTTTTGGCCCGAGCCGACAGATTGATGGATAATTATCTTAAACTCGCGAACTATAACGGATTTAACTTTTCGCTTTTGTAAAGTAACAAGAACGTCGATCAATTACTGTCAGCGTTGCGTCGTCGACGTCGTCGTTGAGGGAACGTCGAAACTTGTTCGCGGAAGGGGGGCGGGAGGGGGGTAGGTTGGACGAAAGGGGGTCGACGCGACGGACGCTTAAAAGCCCTTGCCTGTGTTATATGTAGTACGGTTATTATGGAGTCACTTTTGAAGTGACAAGGGATCATGCTGATATTAAGAAAAAGTTTTTATAATCTTGTTGACTTTTTTTAAAAATTTTATTGCCATGTTTATGGTCGCCAGTTAAGGAAAGAATTTATATTTGTTTACTTTTTATTATGTTTGGGTACTTTTTGTTTTCGTACTGAAATTAATAAAAGTATGGAAAAACTTCTGTATTACTTTTCTGCAGGTAATACTGTTGTGGGGGTACAGAACCCCTGTGGTTAGAGGGTGTGAGACTTGTACAGATCTGTTAGCTTGTCACAAAACTTCTATAATAGTATAGCACAGTTGTAACATGAGATAAAATAGGCTTAAAAACGTTTCTACTTTCATTGTAAAGGATCAAAGTTTTGGGGGGGGGGGTGAAATTTATTATACAGGTGGGATAGCAAGTTCGTATGGGATGTTGTGCGAAAGAACTGTGATTGTACGTTTGTACATAATTTTTATTCCTTTAATTTTATGATAAAACTACGTTAATATTTAATATTATTGGGGCCGTTTAGCGTTGCCATTATTATTGCTATTAGTCGTTAATTTCACGTGACGTTTCGCCACTTCCCCCTCTTGTTCTTTATCTCCGGCTGATTCGCCGGAACAAGAACAAGAGGCATTCCCCAGAATTTCCACGCGCTTTTGGAACGGGTTCATACTCCGAATTACATGCATGACATGTCAACAACGCGACGTACGTTCTCTGATAGTGCACAAAAGACGAGGGGGGAACAATAGAAGATCGTTGGGTATTTAATTCGTGCCTAAGACGAGACATTCCGATAATGACAACAACAACAACAATATCGACAACGACGAATCTGTTTGCATGTGTGTAAGTGGGACTGGGAGACGTTGGCCGGGGGTGCAAGCTGTTTGGTTTCGAACATTCTGCACACGACAATCGACATTTCTCGGCATGTCTTTCTTGTACATGGCTAATGGCTCTGTCGTCTATTCATGAGCTTGTATTCATGATCGGGAATTATATCAGACAGTAGATGTCCTGTTTTGTTGTATGTGGGTACATAAATATGCACATAAGCGCATATATACGGATGCATCTGTTATCGAAGTATATAAGCAAATATGCATATGTAATATCGTAAATTTCGTTCCGCCTAGAGCGACATATTAAGCCCTAATTTATACTACCGGTTAAGTCACGGCCCAGTCACGGTCACATCAATGTATACAAAATCTGGATCGTGACTTAACCGATAGTATGAATCCTGTTTAATTCACTACAAAAAGCCTGATTTATATTATCGATTAAGTCGCGACCAAGTCACGATCCAGTTACGGTCAGATCAAAGTATCGTTCGAGAGAAATACCACTATTAATTGACTGAACCGTGACTTGACCCTTTCTGGTAGTATGAACAGTGCTATATGAAATATTTGCTATAATATTTTACTTGACAGTGGCCGGACCATCAGTTGACCGATAGCAACAATTAGGCTTAAATCTGGCTTTAGACTGATTCGTACTATTGGTCATGTCATGGATAAGTCACGGCCCAGTCACGGTTACATCAAAGTTTACAAAATGGGTACTATAATATTTACCGTGACTGGATCGTGACTTAACCGATAGTATGAATCCTGCTTAATTCACTAAAAAAAGCCTCATTAATACTATCGATTAAGTCGCGACAAGTTATGATCCAGTCATGGTCAGATCAAAGCATCGTTAGAGAGAAATACCACGATTAATTGACTGAACCGTGACTTGACCCTTTCTTGTAGTATGAACAGTGCTATATGAAATATTTGCTATAATATTTTACTTGACAGTGGCGGGACCATCAGTTGACCGATAGCAACAATCAGGCTTAAATCTGGCTTTAGACTGATTCGTACTATTGGCTAAGTCATGGATAAGTTACGACCCAGTCCCGGTCAGATTAGACCGTGACTTAATCGTTATTTGTGGTATGAATACTGCCATATGAAATGTATGTAATATTTTAAATGACTGGCCGGGCCGTGACTTGACCATGGCTTCACAGATTTCATAAATCGGGCTTAAATATCGTTTCAGATCGATTCATACTGTTGGTCAAGGCATGTTTAAGTCACGGTCAGATTAAATATCGTTGGAGAGAAATATCACGGTTAATTGAGTAGACTGTGACTTAACCGTTATTGTAGTATGAATATATTATATTTTACATGACTGACCGGACCATGACTTGACCGATATCATGAATCGGAAACGATATTTTGATTTGCCCCTCACAGGACTTTAATTTTGCTATAAATGAGACTTACAATTAAAGGTGAAGGTAGTGATCAAAACAAAGAATAACTATTGCGATTTGTCGGTATTATAAGCTAACTTCACTGTATTTGTTTAGGTGTCATGCCTATTAGTAGGGAGTTGGTTGCTAAAACAAATCGAAGAAGGTTTTATTAGTAGTCTTTATTTATTTATGTTGTGATTACTTTGGTTTTCCATCTCTTGTAACGGGGTAGTCGCGACCCGATGCCGACCGTTGCGACGTCCTGGTCGGCGTCGCTCTTGGTGTATGCTAATTAATGGCGCGGATCTCACTGAATACACCACTGTGGGTACCGTCCCATCCCCCAATTAAACGGCAAAAGACGCTCCCGGCACGTATCCAAATGTAGGCAATTATTATTACTTCCGTCGAGGACTTTGTTGTTACTGTACGTACGTACGTACATACATACATAACCACAGTTAATAGTTGGTCGGCTGGGTCCGACGCTTTGCACTTTAAAATTAACGCAAACGACGCCGACAGACGCCGGCATCGACTCGATCAACGTGTAGGAATATGTCAATTCTCTGCTAATGATCTATAATAAT